TGGCATGAAGTTGGCCACGAAGTCTGCCAAGATTTCAGACTTGATGGTTGTTCGGGGTTGATACTCGATATCGTACCCGCTGATCTTGATGGCCCATTTGGCCAATCGGCCCGAGAGTTCAGGCTTGTGCAAAATGTTTTGAAGGGGATAGATGGTTACATCACAAATAGAGTGATACTGAAAATATGGTTTTAATTTCCTAGAGGCGCTTATTAAAGCAAGTGCTAATTTTTCGAAGTGTGGGTACCGGGTTTTGACTTCTCCAAAAGTCCTACTAATATAATAGACAAGAAATTACGTACCTTGTTCTTCTCAAACTAAGACTCCACTTACCGTTATCTCCGAGACTGCTAAGTATAATTAAAGTTGCTCGTCCGTCTTTGGGGTGTGAAGCAACGGCGGGCTCGACAGGTATCGCTTGAATTCCTCTAAGGCCTGTTTACATTCTGGGGTCCAAGCAAAATTTCTTTTTTTCTTAAGCAAGGAGAAGAACCGATGGCTCCTATCTGAGGACCTTGAGATAAATCGACCCAAAGCAGTTATGTGTCCTGTTAACCTTTGTACAACTTTGACATTATCAACAACTGTGATGTCTTCGATGGCCTTGGTTTTATCGGGGTTGATTTCGATCCCCCGATTTGATACCATAAAGCCGAGGAACTTCCCCGAGCCGACCCCGAATGCACATTTCTCCGGGTTAAGCTTTATGTTGTACTTTCTCAGTATGTCAAAGATCTCCTGTAAATGTTTCAAATGGTCCTCTGCTCGCAGGGACTTAATAAGTATATCATTAATATAAACCTCCATTGATTTACCTATTTGTTCTTCGAACATTCGATTTACTAGGCGTTGATAAGTAGCACTAGCATTTTTTAGTCTGAATGGCATTACATTATAGCAGTAGATGACGTATTTAGTGATAAACGAAGTCTTTTTCTGATCCTCCGGGTTTATTTGTATTTGATTGTACCTGTAGTAGGCATCGAGAAAACTAAGGATCTCGTGGTCGGCTGTGGCATCGATCATGCGATCGATATTCGGTAAAAGAAAAGAATCTTTAGGACATGCCTTATTTAAATCTTTGTAGTCTACGCACATTCAAAGTTTATTCCCATTTTTAAGGACTACGACTACGTTTTCTAGCCACTCGGGATATTTTACTTTCCGAATGGATCCTATTTTGAGAAGTTTTGTTACCTCATCCTTGATGAATGTATGTTTTAACTCGGACTGGGGTCTTCTTTTTTGCCTTACCGGGCAGAACTTCGGGTCCAAGCTTAATCGATGAGAGGTAATCTCCGGTGGGATCCCTGTCATGTCAAGGTGGGACCAAGCAAAACAATCTATATCTTTTATAAGGAATTTAATGAGTTTTTCCCTAAGCTCGGGGGTTAATACCGTGCCCAAGTATACCTTTCGATCGGGCAGATGCTCGATCAGTATGATTTGATCTAGCTCTTCGACCGTCGACTTCGTTGCATCTGAATCATCGGGGATCACGAACGTTCGAGGTATCATATAATCATCATCCTCAAAAATTTCCCGCTCCTCTGATTGGGCCGAGGTCGATGACTGTGGTTGATATTTGACTTCTTGTTTTCCTTTTGACTCCGATTTCTTTGTCAATGAAAGTGTTGATACCAGTATCGTTGATTGCAAACATCTCTCTGGCAGCGGGTTGCTCACCGTACACCGTTTTGACTCCTTCCGAAGTTGGGAACTTCAGAACTTGATGATGCGTTGAAGGTACCGCTCTCATATTATGTATCCAAGGCCTTCCGAGCAGTACGTTGTACCTCATGTCACCCTCGATCACATGGAAATTTGTATCTTGGATCGTTCCAGCTACATTTACTGGCAAAATGATCTCTCCTTTGGTGGTCTCACTCGCCATATTGAAACCGTTAAGTACCCGAGCAGCGGGTATGATCTGATCTTGGAGGTCGAGTCGCTCTATGACCCTTGATCGAATAATATTTGCTAAGCTACCTAGATCAATCAATACATGTTTAACATGAATTTTATTCATAAGAATTGATATTACCAGTGCGTCGTTGTGAGGTCGATCCCTTCCATGTCTTCGTCGCTAAAAGACAAGTTATCTTCTGGTAAGTAGTTCCGAGTTCGCTTTTCTCTAGTGATTGTCACTTTGGTGCATTTGAACATTGGTCCTTGAGGGATATCGATCCCGCCAACAATCATGTGAATTACGTGTTGTGGTTCCTCCTGCTCGTTCTACCTATTCGAGTCTCTGTTTTTGAAGTGGTTCTTGGCCCGATCACTTAAGCATTCTCGAAGGTGACCCTCATCGAATAAACGGGTTACCTTCTCCCTCAACTGTCTGCAATATTCGGTTCTATGACCATGGGTACCATGGTATTTGCACATTTGATTGGAGTTCCTTTGAGGTGGATCGGTCTGCAAGGGTCTAGGCCATCTAGTATCCTTAATCCGACCAATGGCTAATATGATACCTGATGCATCGACGCTGAAGTTATATTCTAACAGTCGAGTGCCTCTTTGGATTCAGTATCCCTATCGAAACTGCTCTTACTCATGAGACCTCGAGAACTCTATACCCGATCATTCCTTTTGTCATTCCAAATGGGGTTGCATTCGTGCCCGCTATTTTTTCGATCTCCACTGTATGGCTAATATATGTCTTTGTTCAATCGGGGTTCCCCATCGATGTCTTTTTTGACTTTATCTGTGGATATGTTGTGATAAATCGAACCAATCGGAGCCCCAATTGATCATCTTTGACCCTAATTTTTATTGATACCGATTATGTACATCGGCTCGAGTGACAGCTACATATTCGATCAAATATTGCTTCAGTTGTTGTTAAGCTATGGAACTCTAAGTATTAAGACCTTGTGTAAAAGCTTGAACAGCTCAGTCATCAGTGACTGGAGGCAAATCCATTCTCTCCGTTTGGAACCGAGATACGAATTCTCTGAGCATCTCGTTGTCCTTTTGTCTTACCTTGAAAAGGCCCGATTTTCATGTTGCAACTTTGATGGCTCCGGCGTGGGCTTTCACAAATGAATCTGCCAACATAGCAAACGAATCAATAGAGTTGGGTGGTAAGTTATGATACCATATCACGGCACCCTTTGATAAGGTTTCTCCAAACTTTTTCAACAGAACAGATTCAATCTCATCATCTTCTAAGTCATTCCCTTATATTGCACATGTGTAAGAAGTAACATGCTCATTAGGGTCGGTGGTTCCATTGTACTTGGGAATTTCTGACATACAGAATTTTTTTAGGATAGGCTTCGGTGTCGCACTCGGCGGGAAAGGCTTCTGCATGAACTTCTTCGAATCCAAACCCTTTAGAATGGGGGTGCCCCCGATATTTGGTCAAATCGCGAATTGTACGTTTCTACCTTTTGTCATTAGCCTCAATTTTCTTTTCACCTGATTCGATTCGCTTAGTGAGCTCCTCGAGCATTTTCATGATGGCGGGATTAGTCCCCGATTTATTGGCGTTTGATTTCTCCGGTACAGGTTCGATTCTATGAATAACTTCTTGTGATGTTTCGAGCTCCATTCTGCTTGGAGCACGATTCTGATTTTGGAGTTGCGTTATCGCAGCTTGTTGAGTCTACAACATTTCAAATATCATAATTCTGCCTTTTTTACCACACTGTGCATTCTGATCGGCTACTCAAACATCTCTGCGAATGTTATTTTCAAGGTCGACACCTGAATTCCCTTAATAGCAACACGGGAACCGACGTCAATTGGGGTAACGACTTGTGGTCCATCGGGGTTTACTGGAGGTTCTCCATTTCTCGGGGCGACTACATTCTCGTTTCGCCCTTTAGACCAAGGCCGTTATTTGCATGTGTGGGTGCTACTTGAGAATTCGACATGTTGATCCTGAAATCAAAGATACTTACAAGAACAAGCGTAAAGCAATGTGTGTTATGAAAGATTAATACTAGGCAATTACTTTTATCCTTGGCCCCACGGTGAGCGCCAAACTGTTTACCCTAAAAATTGGATAATAATTAAACTTATAATGTGATTTTAAGGATAAGTGATTTCACCTAATATCAATTGATAAACGTAAAGATTAGTAATGTAAATTGATAATTAAATAAAGTAAACCAGTGTTTGAACAGAATCCAGCCCTCGAGCTTGAATACCCTCAAGCTAGTTTGTGCAAGAACAGTTAAAATGTAACAAATTGATGAATAAGAGAGTGTAAACTAAAGAGAGAATATTCTATTGCTTTGATCCGCGTGAATGTAAAGTGTTTACAAATGATGGTGACTCCTCTTTATATAGTAGAGGGGTCCTAATTATGGTATAACTCAAATTATAGAAGGAAATCACATGATTAGCTAATTAACCACCTTTGATTTGATCTGTTCCAAAATCCCGTCGTGATCTTCGACCAGTCACAGATATCTCGCTTTCCCATTATTGTGCTTCACTCGGAGTCTGCCTTGTTTTATTTTGATCGATGCCGGCTTCGACCTCGATAGGTACTTCGATTCTCGAACACAGTACCTTGCCTTCGTCACTTTGATCCGCTCTACTTAGAGGCTAACCCTCGAAGCAATTCCCTGGTTTCGATTAAATAGCAAAACCGGGTAGGCCCGATTTTAACCGCATACAATTGCATATCTGACATCATAAAAATATTTACTTGTAGATATTCTTTGAATGACCTGATAGTATAAAATATTAACTATGTATATAACTTAAACTCCTTCTTCTTATTGTCTCTAAAATTTAAAAAATATATTTCCCACAAGGGTTGGCTGAGTGGTTTCCACATAGGAGACCTGGGATCAATTCTCCTTACTAGTAGTCTCCTCAGTCAAAGCTCGTCACATCGAGCTTGCTAGTGCGGTTTACATCATCTCTTGTGTGGTTTGCGACCTATTGCATATACCCGGTGCAAGCCCAAAGGATAGCGGCTATGGATTTTTCTAGAAATTTTTCAAAAAAAAATAACAAATATTTTGTTTTGTTAATTGTAGATGGATATCCCTTCTACTTATGTTGGATTAATTCTAAAAGATTGTCAACTCCCATATGCAAACCACGGAGTTCTTGTCATGTCAGACCCATCACCAGTAACATTTTATCCAATCAGCAGCACTGAGATTCGTTGTCTGGTTCTTATTGCTGGTCAAAAAGTACCTTCCATCGCTAATGGAGAAATGGTCAATTATTTGAAGAATGTGGTCGCTTCTCAGGTATGTATCTCTAATGAATTTTAAGTTAAATATAGATGTATAAAAACTATTTACAAAATGAAGCATTAATTTTATATCCACCAATAGTTTTACCATTTCAACTCTGCATTTCTCTCATTAATAATCCATGTCAATAAATACTTACTCGCACCCGGTATTTTTATCTAATCATGATTAAGTGATAAAAAGTTTATATACAAGACAAATGTCAAGCATTCATTTGTTTGGTGTAAATACCAGGTGCGAGTAAATTTTTACCATCTCTGTCTCCATACTCATTCAATTCATACCTCCATTTTTCTAAGAGATTATTACTTATTACTCTTAGGGGTACACAAATCAAACCGGAAAACTGCACCAAACCGAAAAGTTAAACCAAACCGATTAAAAAATCCCACTTGGTTTGGTTTGATTTGATTTGGTATTGAGTAAAAAAATCGAACCAAACCGACATATAAATATATAATTTTTATATATTCTTTTAAGATTTAATATAGAATTTTCTTTAAAAAAATATCTAAAAATATTTGAGATTCTCTTACGGAGTATAATATTTAATGAAAATATGACGTGCTCCATATTTATTACCTTAAATAATTGGTGTATGATCACTCTCTTATCAAGTGTTACTGAAATGAGTCAATCACTTTGTTCTTCCATATTCATATGTCAAGATCTATTAAATTCTTATATCTTTTTCGAATTTGAAATGATTATTATTATTTAGGTATCCTATTAATTTTTATTTTTAATTACTAAATTTGGTTAACTTTGAAAGTGTATATTAACAAAAAATTATTGTCAAATGATTGAAAAAATAACAACCATGTGTTACTAAGTAAATTCTCCCATAAGAATATTTAATAGATAATACATTTGTCAATTTTTTAAATTTTTACTAAACATATATTTACTCATAAAAAATTTAACAAAGTAAGATTGAAATAATATTTAAGTAACAAAAAACCCGAAAACCCCGCCAAAACCGAACCAATCCAAACCGATATTGTATTGGTGAAAAAATAATAATACACATGGAGTTACATTTAGTTGATAGGGCATAATACGTGGAACAATGAAAAGAAGACAGCTGGAATATTACAATTAAAAGATGTATGAGTTACAAGAGGTGCAAGCAAATCACCCACGAGACGAAAATGACACATACGCTCAAGCCTAAATTAGTCAATGAAGAGACATAGACGGAATGAATCAAGATAGTAAAAAGGAAAGATTCATGAACCTTCAAATAATAAGGAGGGAGAATCAGAATCGTTACAAAATCTTCATGAACAATTACGATTATCAATTATAACGGGTCATTAATACCATTAATGCTCATAATAATTTATCCATTAATGGAAGAAAACGTTATATTTATAAACATCTATATAAGAGAAGAGGTTTTCACTTATAAAAGATATCTAAGATAATATTGGAATATACTCTTTACTTTTTTGCCTTCTCAAACTTCTCTACTTTGACTTTGCAATCAATTATTTCTTTAGTTGTTTTTGTTATTTTCCTTTGATATCATTGAGAAAGTGAAGCAGAACTTGGTTATCAGAATCCCGTTTTCTTCTAAGACTAAACTTTGACCGAAAGATATATTTTTTGGTTAAATAAATTGGTTCCGTTACAGGAAAACTGATAATCTTTTCACTTTCCAATTCACTTTTCTATCAAACAATCATGTCAACTGCCAACGACACCATCTGAACCAACATAACCAACATAAGAGAGGAACTCCAATCCCTTTACCTCAAAATTATCCTCGACAGTCCCGGGAGGGCACATCTCAAAGATCAACATCACATACGAATGATCAACAATGCATTAAAATAACTAATTGCGGAACACGTCAACAATGCTCCTCAAGATTTTGTCAGTGGATTGCCAACTGTACCACCAACTCCACCTCCAAACAACACTGCAACTATAGAAACCCGCATTCGGGACTTGCTAATTTGGGAAGCGGAGAAACTCCCAGCGAATCTCATGATGGAAATAGCGCAAGGAGCAGAATGATCGCATAGAACAAATTCCTGGTGTGCTACCCATGATTAAAGGAGTAGATATTGACAAATATTCACAATAGCCCTAGAAGCCAAGTGCAGCTCCCTTGCCGATTCCAAAGAAATTTAAAATGCCCGATATTCCAAAGTATGATGGAACAACTGACCCACGAGATCATGTAACTGCGTTTACAACTGGCGTGAAGAGCAATGATTTAACTAAGCAAGAAATTGAGTCAGTGCTGGTCAAAAAATTTAGCGAAACGCTCATGAAAGGAGCACTAACATGGTTTTAACTTTTACTAGAAAATTCTATTAATTCTTTTGTTGAGCTTGTAGATTCATTTATTAAAGCACATTTGGGAGCTCAAAAAATTGAGAAGAGGATGGAAGACATCTTCAAAATAAAACAAGGAGATACGGAGCTACTCAGGGAATTTGTAGATAGATTTCAACATGAAAGAATGTTGTTACCACGGGTACCTGATAATTGGGCAGCCATGGCGTTTGCAAGTAACTTAAATGAAAAAAGCTTAGAATCCACGATGAGACTCAAGGAAAGCTTATGAGAATTCCCTGCTACAACTTTGAATGATGTTTACAACAGATACAGTACGAAGCTGCGGATAGAAGAAGACACTATCACTCGGTCACGGAGTGATGAAAGAACAAGTTCGAGGCGACCGAAAACCAAAAAAAGGTCTGGTAAGAACAGGTATGAACCTTACATGGGACCTGCAGGATGAGATTCACGTTCTAAACAAGAAAATCCAAGGTATGGTTCTAGATCGAGGGATAAAGACGCGGGTTCATCATCCAAGTTCAAAAAAGAGCGAGATACGTGGGACAACAATGTTAATACTAAGGCAAAGATTGGTGATTACAGTTTCAATATCAGTATTTCTGAATCGGTAGTTGTTTTAAGAAGTATGAGAGATAAGGTGCGGTAGCCAAAAGAAATGAGATCAAACCATAACAGAAGAAATCCAAATTTTTGGTGCGAGTTTCATAATGAATACGGTCATAAAACAACAGATTGCAGACTGCTACAGGGTGAAATAGAGCATTTGTTAAAACAAGGTTATTTAACTGACTTGTTTAGTGAGAAAGTTAAGCAAGCGTATATGAAGAATAGACAAGAGCCTCCAACACCTCCATCACCAAAAAGGATGGTTAATGTGATAAGCGGAGGTGAAGAGGTCAATGGTGTGACATATACGGCTGCAAAAAAGACATCAAAAGTCACGGTTACCCACGGAAAGCGAGTTTGCCAAATTTTAAAGGAAAACGCTATAACATTTGATGATGTAGATGGCGTGATGATCCCTCACAATGATACACTGGTAATATCTTTACTCGTATATGATACTAATGTGAAATGAGTTTTGATTGATTCAGGTAGCTCCGTAAATATCATTATTCTGAGGTTGGTAACGAGATGCAAACTGATGACAAAATGGTACCCAAAGCACGTACCTTATCTGGATTCGACAATTCAAGCATTATTACAAAAGGAGAAATAATGCTTACCAGGAGTTGTCAAAGGCATGAAATTTCAAGTGATAGATACGGACATGGCGTATAATATGATTCTTGGCAGACCTTGGATTCATGATATGGATGTTGTTCCATCTACTTTACATCAAGTTATTAAGTTCCCTTCACAATGAGGGATTGGACAAATCCGTGGTGATCAACAGGCTTCCAGAAGTATCAATTCAGGGGCGAATTCGAGCATAGTGACCGATGGTGCAGACAAAAAATAGCAATTACAGAATTCAGTTAAGGACTTAGCAGCACAAACCTCAACTGAAGGTGGGAAATGGACGTGGATTCAAGGCCTGATTTCATTCAAGAACTAGAAGAGAATGAAAACATCAAAATAACAATAGAAAAACTCGAAGCCAGTGGTTCTGTTTATACATTGGCCAGACAGAAAAGTTTACATTGGAGCGAACTTGAGCCCAAAAATGAAAGGTAAGTTAACTGAATTCTTAAAGGCTAACGTGGATTGCTTTGCTTGGTCGCATTCAGATATGACAGGTATACCACCGAAGGTGATGACCCACAAACTAAATGAAGATCCATCACACCCACCTGTCAAACAGAAGAAAAGGAAGCAGGGATCCTTCAAAATCAGGTGATTTAGGATGAAGTACAAAAACTTTTAAAAATTGGATCCATACAAGAGGTAAAATATCCTAACTGGCTAGTTAATACTGTAATAGTACCAAAAAAGAATAGGAAGTGGCGAGTTTGTTTAGATTATACTGACTTAAATAAAGCTTGTCCTAAAGACTCATTTCCTTTACCGCATATAGATCAACTAATTGATTCTACTGCAGGACATGAGTTGTTGAGTTTTTTAGATGCCTATTCAGGATATAATCAGATAAAAATGGGTCCTTTAGATGAGGAAAAACTTCCTTTATCACAAACAGGGGGACTTACTGTTATAAAGTCATGCCTTTCGGACTAAAAAATGGTGGAGCCACGTACCAAAGATTGGTAATAAAAATGTTTAAAGAACACCTGGGAAAAACTATGGAAGTCTACATCGATGACATGCTAGTCAAGTAAGCACAGGGGGGGATCATATCCAACATTTGTCAAAAAAAATTCAAATTCATCGCAAACTCAATATGAAGTTAAATCTCGAAAAATGTGCTTTTGGCGTGTCGTCAGGTAAGTTTTTAGGTTTACTTGTTTCTAAATAGAGGTATAGAAGTAAACCATGCATAGATCAAAGAAATTGAAGAGATACCAGACATACTCACGAGCAAAAAAGAGGTGCAGAGGCTGATAGGAAGGATAACAGCTTTGGAAAGATTTATTTCTAAATCTTCGGAGAAAAGTTTTTAAGTTTTTTTTAGTGTTGAAAAATCAAAACCACATTGAGTGGACTAAGGAATGTCAACAAACACTCAGAAATCTAAAAGCATACTTGTCAAACCCACCGTTGTTGGCTAAACCGAAGGATGGAGA